AGTCACACAGCCCACTGGTGGAGTTTAGGCCAACACTAGAGTTCCTCAGCAATCGGCTCAGTGTTCTTCCCTCTAAAGTGCCATTAGGCAATCGTACTCTTCTCATTCTTCAGTCAGGCAGGGCTTAAATGTCCCTTTGATTGACTTAGAAAGCAAGTGCTACTTTAACAGAGAATTTAGATTAATCCAAATTAATCCCAATTGCAGGGGCAATGTTTCACCTACTTGAGAACCTTCCAAACTATTTCAGCTTTAATATGCATGCCAGCCACCGAAGGTTCTTATCTTTTCCTTAAAGCTAGTTCCTTCCATTCTCTGTTTGGTAATCCTGGAAGCAGATTCCTAAGACTGCATGTCTTCTCTATATCATTGAAGTCCACTAAAAAATATCTTTCATCTTGATATCCCCCAAAGCCTTTGGGTTATTGAAATCAATGAGGATTTGTTCCTCTGCACCTCTGGGTGCTGGGCAGGGGAGCCAGGGAGTGTGGAGGTCCACAATTTGCTTACGCATCCAAGTTGTCCAGAGCTCCAGCAGCTGCTACCAGATTGGGGTCTGAGGAGGTTCCCAAGGCGGGTTGTGGGCCCACTGCCTTGCTGGATTTCCCCATTACTCCTTGCAGGTGTCTTACAGCACTAGTTCCACACTGGGCACATGCTGGGCCACCTTGATCCCTGATTATTGTCCACACTGAGCCTGGAGACCCACAATCAGGTTAATTGGTAGGCTGGTCAGCCCTGTCCAACCTATTCTAGTTAGAGAAGGAGAGAGGCCCAGAAACCCCATGTGACTTTTTCAAGGTCACACAGACAATTACAGCAAGTTCATGGTCACTAACACAGGGAAACATCTCAGAGGCAGAGAATCTGGGAATGCCAGGGCAGGGAAACCCTCTGGCTCCAGGGCACCCAGAGAGGGGAAGCCACTTGCCCAAACTAGTGCTAGGGATTCCAAGTCTCAGCCTGACAATGTTTCCATTTACACTGGGCCAACCAAGGGATGCCATGCTCCGCCCTCCTCAGGCTGCCGCTGGGGCTGCTGGCTGCATAGCTGCAGTAGTGTTACCAAGTGCAGTCACACCGTCTTGACTTTGAGTAATGACTATGAGCCAGCACCCCAGACTGGTATGCTTCCCTCCAGGGCTGTGGTGGCCACAGTGTTGGTGACTGGGGTCCTCCCCAGGCAGTGAATCTGAAGCAGGTCAGCCAGCCATGCAATAGATGGGATTTTATATCAAGTCTCCAGCCTCCTCCCCTCCCTGGGGGATGGATCACTGGCTTTTTGTGAGAGCCTCAGGAGGGCTTGTGTGGGGACAGTGGCTCTTGGGAAGTGTGGTGGCATAGCTGGACTTGGCATGGAGGGGTGGACTGTATGGGGCAGGTACCCCACCCTGCTGGGGCTGCCTTTTCTCAATACCCAATGGGCCTTCTGCTGGAGGCCCTCTGCCCCCCACCCTGCCCCTGCTAAGACTCGGCATTTTAGTCTTCGTGAGGCTGGGCTGTGTGCCAGAGTCCACATGTCCTTTACAGTCAGTGTGATCCATAGAGTCCTCCAGATCTGCCTGAAGGGGAATATCTGTGGGGACTTTGCCCCAGGGCTGCAGAACCCACGGGGACCACTTGATGTGGAGGGCTAAGGCCTTGGAGAGGTGGGTGTGCAGGGTGTGGAGGTTCAGCATGGGGTTCCAAGCTGGTGGGCTTCCTTGGGGATGTCCAGATCCACTTCCAGGGGAGTCTCCATGGGTACAGCCACCAGGGAATGTGAGGCTGGGATACACCTGTCACCAAAGCTATCACAAAGTGGGCCTGAGAGGGAGAGGTCCCTGGGGGCAAAGACTCTTGAAGCAGCACGTCTTCATTTCATTAAATAAGTCATGCTTCCCAAGTGGAGCTCCCATCCAGTGCACTGCAGCCAAGCATGGTTTTCTGTTGCCAAGAAGGCCCCTCTTTCCAGTATTCTGTGGCTAGAGAGGACCCCCTGTCCCAGAATGCAGCTGATGCTGGGTGCTTCTCTAGCCCCTCAGCCCAAGCATAGAGTTTACATTGCACAGTTCCTGCAAGTGTGTGAGTTATTTAAGTTGCTGTCTGCTTTCTCCACTGAATTCTGTGACCATGTCTATTCTTTTGGACTATTTTTGCATAAATTGTAGATTAATTCTAACATCTCAGCTTGCAGGGTGCCCTCTTTGTCCTGACCACCTCCTCTTCTTAGGTACAAAGTCACAAATAATTGGTCAACCAATGCTAAAGTATACTAAGGGCTTCCAAGCCAAAAGAAAGAGTCCTGGGGGACTCTTTTGTAAATTGTTGAAAAGTATAGTTCTCCAGTTGGTTTATACATGGGATTTGGGGGTCTTGGGCCATCACCATGGAAGCAGGTGCCTATCCTACAATGCAGCAGCCAGAGGTGGGCTCCATGTACCTAGATGCAAGCTTGCATGTCTGGTTATCTGCAGCCTTTGGGTTCGCTCATCTACACTTTTATTTGAGGGGAGCATTGCCCATGAAATCCTTCTCCAGAGAGAACTCAGGTTTAAATTGTGTTCTCTCTTCCAACCCCCCTGAATTTACTGGCTGTAAACCCCACTGCTGCATGCATGTCTGAGCAGAAAAAGGAGCCTTGGAACCTTCTAGAGATCTGGACTAATTCCCTCACCTTACCCACTTATTGTAAAAGTGAGGAAATGGAGGCCCAGGCAGGGGGCAGGCAGGGGTGACCTAAAGTCACAAAGCTGGATGGTAGCAATACTGGGACTGAAGTCGGGCCTCCTGATTGTCAGGCCAGGGCTCTTTCTAGCAACCGATATATTGGCTACAGCTTCAAAAATTCCCCCAACCAGGCCAAAACGGTCCCCTCCCTCTCCTCCGCTGTTCCAGCCTCCCTTCCCCCGACTACACATAATTTGGGTTATAGCAAAGCATATCGAACTCCAGGTTCTCATCCCAGTGCCGCAAGAGCACGAACAGCTGGCGGGCAGCAGCCTTCAGTGCGCCCTGCGTGCGGCCCTCCGGCACCTCCTGCTGCTCCAGCCACGAGTTGGCCTTGGCGGCCACCAGCTCCCACTCAACGAAGTAGGAGGCTGAGCTGTGCTCCAGCCACGCCAGCGCCACCACTGTAGCCCACAGCTTCCCTGTGTGTTCTGTCACAGCCTTGGGCTCCCAGCCCGGCTTGCCCTCTGCCAGTGGCTTTGGGGAGAAGCTGTGGGGACTCGGGGTCTTAGACTCAGGCTGGCGGGTGGTGAGGGACTCTCGGTGGCATGTGAAGGGCGAGGTCCACTTGAGCTTCTCCATGGGGATGTGGATGGCCTCACAGAAGGCTTGGTTGAGCAGGAAGGCTCCGGAGGCCAGCTGCAGAGACACCTGTGCATGGGAGAGCCCCTCAGTGGGCCTCAAACCTTTTAACCTGTGGAGCCCCAGGCCACACAAAAGTCTGGGTCCACATATAGCCCGCCCTTTCATCCTCCCCAGCTTGTCCTGCCTGCCTGGGGGATTTGCGGGATACCCAGGCCACCCGAGCTTCTCCATGTTTTCTCCCACAGAAACACGGAACTGAGCACCTGCCGAACGCATCAACACCTTCACTCCAAACCTGCCTCTTGTCCTGGCAGGTGCGCCGAGGTTGGCCACTGGGACTGTCCACTGCTATCCAGCAGACTCTGAGCAGCTCACCTCTCTCTTCCTCCCTCCATGCCAAGCAGTTTCCAAGTCCCAACAGGTTTCCATGCTACACAGCTCAGTCATCCGCCATCAGCCTCTTCATGTCCCTGCCTCTACTTCCCCTCCCTGCCCCCTCCCCACCACTCCATCTTTCCTGCACCCTTGGTGCATGGGAGGGGATTTTGTAAGGCACAGATCATGTCACTCCTTCGAGGCCATCAGGTCAGTGGCTTCAATTTTCACTTAGAATAAGTCCAAACTCTGATTACAAAAATGTTCAGATGTGGACTTGACACTTGCCCCTCAAAGCCCCTTCTCCGGCCACCAAGCTCTTTATCCTCTCGTGGCTGCTGGCCATGACGCCTCATGTGTTAGGTCTTGGCTTTGCCATTACATTCTTCCGGAAGTCATGGGCCCTTCCTCCCTGACTTCAAGCCTGGAGTAGGTGTCCTCCACCCCTTTCCTCCCCACCAAACCTCAGGCCTCTGCCATTACAGTGCCCACGGATCAGAGCTGTCCAGTTCCTTGTCTGCATCCCCATTGGAACTTAGTGCCATGAGCTCAGGGACTCTGTTTATCTAGTTCAAGGTTGTCTCCCAAGGTCTAGCACTACACCTGGCTCAACAAATACTTGTTGAGTGAATACATGCATAGTGGTCTGTTGTCCTGGATATTTGGAAATTCACAGTGACTATGCACTTGGGTGTACAGGGACGAGAGCCGTGCAGCGGAGCTCAGACTGTGTCCTTCCTTCTAGCACCTCTGATCCCAAAGCCCCACTGGGTCCCACATGTAGCAGGGCCAGTGTCCCTTGCTCAATTCAGAGACGCCTACTCTAGACTTGGGCTTCTAACTCTGCCACAGCATGCTGGGGCGTCTTCAGAGCCACCTGCTAAACACAGTGCATGTCCCTGGGGTGTTAATTTTACTCGCTTGTGAGTCATTTCAAGGCTTATTTTTATGTATTGAAAAGCAGACACACATAGAGGGTGGAGTGGAATGCAAAATTTCTGTGAATTTTTAAAGCAAAGACAGCAGATTGCAAGAATATTCATGATGCTGGTGCTGGCTTCTAGCAAGACTTCTAGATCTTAGGCTTTGTGGGGTGGGGGGCTCAGGCAAACTCCCTCTGCCCTGCTGGCTAGCTGGGTCAGAAGATCTAGCTCTTCTTTCCCTTGTGGAGTGGGAGGGTGGGCAGGAGGCTCACCGGAAGGCCGATGGGCATGGTGTTTGGAGCGGAGGGGTGGGGGCTTGGGCACTTACCAGTGGGACATAGTCGAAGCTCTGTCAGGCCAAAACGGTCCCCTCCCTCTCCTCCGCTGTTCCAGCCTCCCTTCCCCCGACTACACATAATTTGGGTTATAGCAAAGCATATCGAACTCCAGGTTCTCATCCCAGTGCCGCAAGAGCACGAACAGCTGGCGGGCAGCAGCCTTCAGTGCGCCCTGTGTGCGGCCCTCCGGCACCTCCTGCTGCTCCAGCCACGAGTTGGCCTTGGCGGCCACCAGCTCCCACTCAACGAAGTAGGAGGCTGAGCTGTGCTCCAGCCACGCCAGCGCCACCACTGTAGCCCACAGCTTCCCTGTGTGTTCTGTCACAGCCTTGGGCTCCCAGCCCGGCTTGCCCTCTGCCAGTGGCTTTGGGGAGAAGCTGTGGGGACTCGGGGTCTTAGACTCAGGCTGGCGGGTGGTGAGGGACTCTCGGTGGCATGTGAAGGGCGAGGTCCACTTGAGCTTCTCCATGGGGATGTGGATGGCCTCACAGAAGGCTTGGTTGAGCAGGAAGGCTCCGGAGGCCAGCTGCAGAGACACCTGTGCATGGGAGAGCCCCTCAGTGGGCCTCAAACCTTTTAACCTGTGGAGCCCCAGGCCACACAAAAGTCTGGGTCCACATATAGCCCGCCCTTTCATCCTCCCCAGCTTGTCCTGCCTGCCTGGGGGATTTGCGGGATACCCAGGCCACCCGAGCTTCTCCATGTTTTCTCCCACAGAAACACGGAACTGAGCACCTGCCGAACGCATCAACACCTTCACTCCAAACCTGCCTCTTGTCCTGGCAGGTGCGCCGAGGTTGGCCACTGGGACTGTCCACTGCTATCCAGCAGACTCTGAGCAGCTCACCTCTCTCTTCCTCCCTCCATGCCAAGCAGTTTCCAAGTCCCAACAGGTTTCCATGCTACACAGCTCTGTCATCCGCCATCAGCCTCTTCATGTCCCTGCCTCTACTTCCCCTCCCTGCCCCCTCCCCACCACTCCATCTTTCCTGCACCCTTGGTGCATGGGAGGGGATTTTGTAAGGCACAGATCATGTCACTCCTTCGAGGCCATCAGGTCAGTGGCTTCAATTTTCACTTAGAATAAGTCCAAACTCTGATTACAAAAATGTTCAGATGTGGACTTGACACTTGCCCCTCAAAGCCCCTTCTCCGGCCACCAAGCTCTTTATCCTCTCGTGGCTGCTGGCCATGACGCCTCATGTGTCAGGTCTTGGCTTTGCCATTACATTCTTCCGGAAGTCATGGGCCCTTCCTCCCTGACTTCAAGCCTGGAGTAGGTGTCCTCCACCCCTTTCCTCCCCACCAAACCTCAGGCCTCTGCCATTACAGTGCCCACGGATCAGAGCTGTCCAGTTCCTTGTCTGCATCCCCATTGGAACTTAGTGCCATGAGCTCAGGGACTCTGTTTATCTAGTTCAAGGTTGTCTCCCAAGGTCTAGCACTACACCTGGCTCAACAAATACTTGTTGAGTGAATACATGCATAGTGGTCTGTTGTCCTGGATATTTGGAAATTCACAGTGACTATGCACTTGGGTGTACAGGGACGAGAGCCGTGCAGCGGAGCTCAGACTGTGTCCTTCCTTCTAGCACCTCTGATCCCAAAGCCCCACTGGGTCCCACATGTAGCAGGGCCAGTGTCCCTTGCTCAATTCAGAGACGCCTACTCCAGACTTGGGCTTCTAACTCTGCCACAGCATGCTGGGGCGTCTTCAGAGCCACCTGCTAAACACAGTGCATGTCCCTGGGGTGTTAATTTTACTCGCTTGTGAGTCATTTCAAGGCTTATTTTTATGTATTGAAAAGCAGACACACATAGAGGGTGGAGTGGAATGCAAAATTTCTGTGAATTTTTAAAGCAAAGACAGCAGATTGCAAGAATATTCATGATGCTGGTGCTGGCTTCTAGCAAGACTTCTAGATCTTAGGCTTTGTGGGGTGGGGGGCTCAGGCAAACTCCCTCTGCCCTGCTGGCTAGCTGGGTCAGAAGATCTAGCTCTTCTTTCCCTTGTGGAGTGGGAGGGTGGGCAGGAGGCTCACCGGAAGGCCGATGGGCATGGTGTTTGGAGCGGAGGGGTGGGGGCTTGGGCACTTACCAGTGGGACATAGTCGAAGCTCTGACTACCTGGGGTTGACTCTGGGGCCTTAGTCAGCGGCTTGCTCAGGAAGCCCTTGGCAGCTCGTGTCAGCAGCCTGGACTTGTTGAGATTCATCCTGTGTGGGTAGAACCCAAAAGAATGACCAGAGTCACCCTTGTGGTGTCCCTGGTCATCCCATCCCCCTGAACGTCAGAGCCGGAGGGGATCTGACAGATGGCTTCCTCCAGTCTCCTCATTTGACAGCTGGTAAAACTGAGGCGGTGGGGAGGGGATTTCCCAGGGTCACCTGGTGGGCGAGCAGCAGCCTGGATAAGGAGCATGTTCGTGCTCTTTTCATGACCCTCTTCAATGCTGTATGCTCACCCAGCACAGCGGTCAGTCGTAGGACTAGGCCTCCCAGGGGATTCGCATTTACAGAGACCGTGCACATTTCAGATTGTTCGTTTTTGTCTAAATGTCAGGATGGGCCTTCCTTTGACCTTCCCAGCCAGGGAGAGCCCCAGGAAAATGGGTGGCAGTTGTGTGTCCCCCCCTGGAAATCCCATATACCTGGATCCAAAGAGAGCGTCTGAGGCCTTCAAGGAAGAGAGCGTGTGGGTGGCCAAACTGCGCAGGGGACCTGGGGAGCCACAGAGTGACAGTTGGAACCTGACAGATGACCCTACCCAGACACTCACTGCCCAGCTAGGAAAACAGAGGCCCAGAGAGGGGCTTGCCTACATCTCCAGGGATCTGAACTGCCCATTAGGCTGCAAGGCAGTTTCTGACCCAGCTGGTATGGGGACGGGTAAAAAAGGTGGGCTCATGGGAAAGAAACAGGCCTCTGAGTTTCCTTGACAGGCGGCCCCTGGCATCTTCTGGAAGGTTATCTTTGGCAGTAACAGCTTTACATCCACTCCTCTTATCCCCGAAAGGGGGGCATTGGGTTTCCCTCCTGGTACACACTTGAGGATTCTAGGCAGAGTGAGATGGTAGAAAGGTCCCTCAGCTGGGCACTGGGAGGCATGACTCCAGACCTAGCTCTCTTGCCAGCCTCTTGTGTGACTTTGGGCAAGTCACTTCACCTCTCTGACTCTCAGTTTCCTCATCTTTAAATTGGGGGTACTCCTATTCTTCTCACACCAGGATGTTCTGAGGAATAAATGAGCCTCCGAGGACTTTGTTGGCCTAAGACACCCTCCTGGCCCAACAGTCAGTCAATATCACTTTCTTTATTAAAAGGAGAGCCAACCGATGCCCACTCACCTTCAGAGGCAGCATACTTCTCACGGCCTGGGGACCTGGTCTCGCTGAAGGGCGTGGCGAGGCTGTCCTCCACACCTACAGCAGGAGAAGCCAGGGAGGCCTGAGCCCCGCCCCTTTCTCACAGCCCATCTCCCCAGGGAGAGTGATTATATGAATACCTGGGGATGGGCTGGGGAGCAAGGTCAGGGTTTCCATCCCTGCTTGGATGGGGCTTCATCTTCCAAACATACCACCAATTTCCCACTGTAAAAGCCAGACACGCCTAGGTTCACGTCCTGACTCTCCCACTGACTAGCTGTGTGACGTTGCGAAAGCTGCGTCCTTTGTAAGCTACGATAGCCAGTTGGGATAATTGTATTTAGATTGCAGTGTGGTTGTAAGGATTAAATGAAGTAATACACAGTGCCTGGCCCCTGGTAAGTGCTCAATTAATCCCCGAGCTGCAGGACCAGCAGGGAATCAGGAGCATCAGAGGCCTGAGGGTGGGGTTAGGGGAGGAGAGAGGTGGGCTTCTGCTCACCAGGTCTGTGCCTTACTAAGGAGGGGCTCATGCCAGCTCTCCAGGAGGAGTCAGAACATGGCACTGACTTGTCAGGGGCTCTGAGCCTCACTTTCCCCATCTGAAATGGGGACGATAATTGCATGTAGTTTAAAATGCATAATCGGTAATTATTGGTATGACTATCATTTCAAGGGTGGGAGATTTCAAAGGCAATATACTGTAAGAGAACTGTATTCAGGGACGATGTTCATCAGAGCCCTGTCTCTCCTGGGAGACCATTAGTAGCGCTGTGAGGGCTAAGAAGCTCTGTTTATTGCTGGGTGCTCAGGGGCGGTGCCGGAGTAAACTAGTGACGTAGTGCTCGAGGGACTGCCTGGGTTCAAGTTGTGGCTCTGCACGTATCAACTGTGTGATATTGAGTGAGTCACTGAACTTCTCTGAGCCTCAATTTCCCAATTTCTTAATGCAGAAAATAAAAGAAATGTTCTCAGTTGGTTGTGAGGAGTCGTGGGTGATTGGAACAGTGCCTAGTTCATAGAGAACTCTCGGTATGTGTTAGCCATTGTCATCCTTGGGGAGGGAAAGGGCTTGGGATTGAGTAAGAGCTTAGAAGGTGTAGACACGTGGGCACGAATCAGAGGGCAATGGAAAGGGAAGGATTTGTGATTTTGATGGCAGCCATGGGCCCCAGCAGGAGCTGAGCTATGAAGAAAGGAAAGGGCGGAAAGGAATCCCTGAGCCCAGCCTGGCTCAGGGGTACCCCCCCTGGTTTTGGAGGCTCTGAAGGACCACAGAGTTGGCAGAACTCCTTAATTCTGAAAAGCTCCTCTTGCCACTCACACTGTTCCTTTTTAAAGCCAGAAATGTCTGTAAGCACTTTCTGCTCCCTTGGGTAAAGAATTGCTCTCATCTGGGTGTCTGGCTAGTGGTGAGGTGGGACCACTGGTGTCCTTCCCATGCACAGAAGGAGGCAGGATATCCTCACCGTACACGTGAGGGTATGAAGGAAAAGGTTAGCACTAGTACAACAGTCAGGCTGTCTTTAGGAGGACAGAAAGACTTTCAGACATTCGGGACACAAAGGGTTAAAGCTATCCTGTGAATTAGTGCAAGGTCCCCACAAGGTCAAATCATGGATCTTCAAAGACCCAAGCTACAGACACAATGAAATCAGGTGAAGGCAGGAAGGAAACGGCTGGGAATCCTGACAGAAGCAGATGGTGGGACCCAAGCAGATGGAACTACTCTTTGTGCTCTTTTCCCTTGTTTATTAGTTTTCCTGGCATTTGGTGCCTGGGAGAATTCAGAAGTTGGAGGCAGGGAACAGCCCCGAGTGTTGGCGGACCTAGAAAGGGGAGCGGTGGTGGGACGGTGTGGCACGTGGTCAGGGAGACTGTGCTGCTCTCTGGCTCCAGGCAGCCTTCTCAGCAAGGCTTGGTTGGGCCATGCTGAGCCCCTCTGCCCATCCTCAGAGAGCGCAGGAGGCCTGGCCTTGCCGTGGCCCTGCAAAGGCCCATGATGCAGACTCAGAGAGAGTCCTCCGGGGCCGTGGACATGTGGTGCCCTGACTCAGGGGCTCAGGATTGGAACACGCCCCAGGTGGCTCTTACTGAGGTTGTGAAATACTCCGTCTCCTGCTGCCGAGTCTTCCCTGGGCATGGTCTGGGACCGTCCAAAGCCAGCAGAGGTGCTCCTCCACTGTCGGGTCAGGACCTGAGAGCTGGCCATACGAAATGCACCTTCGTGAATTCGAAAAGAAGGGGTTAGATGGGTACAATCATGCCAGAGTCTTGCCCCTTCCCCAAGGTTGGCAGCAGGGAGTCTGGCTTCCATCTGTCAATCATCCGAAGGCAGGAAGGCCTTGTCCAAGGTCAGACCATGAGGTTTGGAGCCAGATGCTCTGGGTTTGAAGCCCAGTCTCATCTCTTAGTAGCTGGATGGGGTATTAACTCCTCTGAGCCTCGTTTTCCTTATCTGGTAATATAACTAACTACCTTGCCCGGTAGATACTATGGCTGAGATAATATTCAGAAAGTAGCAGTTTTCTAGTTAATTAAAAGACTGGCTTTTTCAGGAACGTGCCACTTTCCTTCTCTCAGTGTGCTGTCTCAGAGACCCAGGTCCCAGCTCTCCTCCCACAAGACAGGCTCCTGAAGTCCAGGGTGTCACCAAAGGGGGGTGGATGGAAGTGATGAAGCTATGGCGCACTGAAGTGTATTTTGGGAAACCCCACTCTCAGAGAACACCATGTCTGTAAGGTTTTCCTTTAAAAAATGAAGAGTTGTATTGGGAAATAAGTTTTGAAGAAGCTGCATAGTATGGTCCATTCTCAGCCTCTTGAAGTATATGACGATGCTAAAAGCACTGAGAAGTATGCAGTAAAGAAAGCTTTTGAGCTTTAATTGATCCACGGTTCCTAATCCGGTATTCCCTATTTTTGTGCTGAATGGCCATTAGCAGGACATGGAATCATGGTTCTAGTTTCCTGGAAGACATTTTGGAGAGAGCTGATCCAGGTCTTAGGCAGCTGTGGGACTTGGATTAAGACACGGGCTAGGTCCTCAAACCTCCCAGGCTGTGGCTGCAGACACTAGGAGAATGGTCAGAAAGAGACACCCTGAATGAGGAGCAGTTTGGGATGACAATGACGGTCACTGAGAATGGCCCAGTGAAGCAACAGCTTGGGCTGCTGACCAGAGCATGAAATGCGAACATTTGGGAGAGTTAAGCAAGGGAGGGAATGGGTTGTTGATTATTTTGGTACCAAAGATACACAAAAAAATAATGGGTGGGGGAACAGGAAGAATGTGGAGAGGCGTATTTTGTTTCCAAACACAATTCCTTCCTGAGGTCTGCTAAAAGAAAAAATGGAGCTGTAAAGGACAGGAAAATGTCATTCAGGAAAGAAAAAGGACATATAATTCATAAACATATGAATAATACCTCACCAAAAACCCTAAATAAATTCCCCAAGAGATTCTTTTCTTACCTATGAGACTGGCAGGATTTAGAAAGATAAACAATATTCAGTGTTGGCAAGGGCAGGCATCTGAATAAGCTTTGGGGCAGGGTCACTTTGTTAACTAACTTACATTCCACTTTTAAATGTACAGACAATCTTACTTCTAAGGGTTAATTAAACCTGCAGAGATAACCAGACAGATGCACAAAGATGTTCTTTGCAGCATAACTGACAATAATCAAAAGGGGAATAAACTGAGGGTATAACAGTAGGGCTGGTTAAATAGGTTCTGATGAAGTTTAAGAGGCAGCGGAGAGGGGTGAGAGGGAGCAGAGACTCCAGAGCCAGGCCCCTGGATTCAAAGGCTGGCTCTGCCTCTCATTGCTGTGTGGCTGTGGGCAAGTTACTTAGCTCCTCTGCCTCTGTTTTCCCATATGTAAATATGTTGGGAGCAAATCTGTGGGCCTTTAAGCAGATTCGGTCACAGGAGCCTTAAGACAACAGCAACGTTTTGAGTAAAAATCTTTCCTGTAAAATCAGCTGGAAATCTTGCCTATAAAGTCAGCAACAATGAACCCATCCACACGTTGGAAACAAGTTTTCGCCTATCACTAAGAGGCTATTTCTTAATGCAGAAAATAAAAGAAATGTTCTCAGTTGGTTGTGAGGAGTCGTGGGTGATTGGAACAGTGCCTAGTTCATAGAGAACTCTCGGTATGTGTTAGCCATTGTCATCCTTGGGGAGGGAAAGGGCTTGGGATTGAGTAAGAGCTTAGAAGGTGTAGACACGTGGGCACGAATCAGAGGGCAATGGAAAGGGAAGGATTTGTGATTTTGATGGCAGCCATGGGCCCCAGCAGGAGCTGAGCTATGAAGAAAGGAAAGGGCGGAAAGGAATCCCTGAGCCCAGCCTGGCTCAGGGGTACCCCCCCTGGTTTTGGAGGCTCTGAGGGACCACAGAGTTGGCAGAACTCCTTAATTCTGAAAAGCTCCTCTTGCCACTCACACTGTTCCTTTTTAAAGCCAGAAATGTCTGTAAGCACTTTCTGCTCCCTTGGGTAAAGAATTGCTCTCATCTGGGTGTCTGGCTAGTGGTGAGGTGGGACCACTGGTGTCCTTCCCATGCACAGAAGGAGGCAGGATATCCTCACCGTACACGTGAGGGTATGAAGGAAAAGGTTAGCACTAGTACAACAGTCAGGCTGTCTTTAGGAGGACAGAAAGACTTTCAGACATTCGGGACACAAAGGGTTAAAGCTATCCTGTGAATTAGTGCAAGGTCCCCACAAGGTCAAATCATGGATCTTCAAAGACCCAAGCTGCAGACACAATGAAATCAGGTGAAGGCAGGAAGGAAACGGCTGGGAATCCTGACAGAAGCAGATGGTGGGACCCAAGCAGATGGAACTACTCTTTGTGCTCTTTTCCCTTGTTTATTAGTTTTCCTGGCATTTGGTGCCTGGGAGAATTCAGAAGTTGGAGGCAGGGAACAGCCCCTAGTGTTGGCGGACCTAGAAAGGGGAGCGGTGGTGGGACGGTGTGGCACGTGGTCAGGGAGACTGTGCTGCTCTCTGGCTCCGGGCAGCCTTCTCAGCAAGGCTTGGTTGGGCCATGCTGAGCCCCTCTGCCCATCCTCAGAGAGCGCAGGAGGCCTGGCCTTGCCGTGGCCCTGCAAAGGCCCATGATGCAGACTCAGAGAGAGTCCTCCGGGGCCGTGGACATGTGGTGCCCTGACTCAGGGGCTCAGGATTGGAACACGCCCCAGGTGGCTCTTACTGAGGTTGTGAAATACTCCGTCTCCTGCTGCCGAGTCTTCCCTGGGCATGGTCTGGGACCGTCCAAAGCCAGCAGAGGTGCTCCTCCACTGTTGGGTCAGGACCTGAGAGCTGGCCATCCGAAATGCACCTTCGTGAATTCGAAAAGAAGGGGTTAGATGGGTACAATCATGCCAGAGTCTTGCCCCTTCCCCAAGGTTGGCAGCAGGGAGTCTGGCTTCCATCTGTCAATCATCCGAAGGCAGGAAGGCCTTGTCCAAGGTCAGACCATGAGGTTTGGAGCCAGATGCTCTGGGTTTGAAGCCCAGTCTCATCTCTTAGTAGCTGGATGGGGTATTAACTCCTCTGAGCCTCGTTTTCCTTATCTGGTAGTATAACTAACTACCTTGCCCGGTAGATACTATGGCTGAGATAATATTCAGAAAGTAGCAGTTTTCTAGTTAATTAAAAGACTGGCTTTTTCAGGAACGTGCCACTTTCCTTCTCTCAGTGTGCTGTCTCAGAGACCCAGGTCCCAGCTCTCCTCCCACAAGACAGGCTCCTGAAGTCCAGGGTGTCACCAAAGGGGGGTGGATGGAAGTGATGAAGCTATGGCGCACTGAAGTGTATTTTGGGAAACCCCACTCTCAGAGAACACCATGTCTGTAAGGTTTTCCTTTAAAAAATGAAGAGTTGTATTGGGAAATAAGTTTTGAAGAAGCTGCATAGTATGGTCCATTCTCAGCCTCTTGAAGTATATGACGATGCTAAAAGCACTGAGAAGTATGCAGTAAAGAAAGCTTTTGAGCTTTAATTGATCCACGGTTCCTAATCCGGTATTCCCTATTTTTGTGCTGAATGGCCATTAGCAGGACATGGAATCATGGTTCTAGTTTCCTGGAAGACATTTTGGAGAGAGCTGATCCAGGTCTTAGGCAGCTGTGGGACTTGGATTAAGACACGGGCTAGGTCCTCAAACCTCCCAGGCTGTGGCTGCAGACACTAGGAGAATGGTCAGAAAGAGACACCCTGAATGAGGAGCAGTTTGGGATGACAATGACGGTCACTGAGAATGGCCCAGTGAAGCAACAGCTTGGGCTGCTGACCAGAGCATGAAATGCGAACATTTGGGAGAGTTAAGCAAGGGAGGGAATGGGTTGTTGATTATTTTGGTACCAAAGATACACAAAAAAATAATGGGTGGGGGAACAGGAAGAATATGGAGAGGCGTATTTTGTTCCCAAACACAATTCCTTCCTGAGGTCTGCTAAAATAAAAAATGGAGCTGTAAAGGACAGGAAAATGTCATTCAGGAAAGAAAAAGGACATATAATTCATAAACATATGAATAATACCTCACCAAAAACCCTAAATAAATTCCCCAAGAGATTCTTTTCTTACCTATGAGACTGGCAGGATTTAGAAAGATAAACAATATTCAGTGTTGGCAAGGGCAGGCATCTGAATAAGCTTTGGGGCAGGGTCACTTTGTTAACTAACTTACATTCCACTTTTAAATGTACAGACAATCTTACTTCTAAGGGTTAATTAAACCTGCAGAGATAACCAGACAGATGCACAAAGATGTTCTTTGCAGCATAACTGACAATAATCAAAAGGGGAATAAACTGAGGGTATAACAGTAGGGCTGGTTAAATAGGTTCTGATGAAGTTTAAGAGGCAGCGGAGAGGGGTGAGAGGGAGCAGAGACTCCAGAGCCAGGCCCCTGGATTCAAAGGCTGGCTCTGCCTCTCATTGCTGTGTGGCTGTGGGCAAGTTACTTAGCTCCTCTGCCTCTGTTTTCCCATATGTAAATATGTTGGGAGCAAATCTGTGGGCCTTAAGCAGATTCGGTCACAGGAGCCTTAAGACAACAGCAACGTTTTGAGTAAAAATCTTTCCTGTAAAATCAGCTGGAAATCTTGCCTATAAAGTCAGCAACAATGAACCCATCCACACGTTGGAAACAAGTTTTCGCCTATCACTAAGAGGCACATTTGGTGAACTCCTAGGTTAGAGCTGGGGTTAATTTACCTAGCAACATTTGCATTTCTAAGTCAGAGTTAGCAGTTGGGCTACCTCACAGCATGTGCCTTTTCTGTCCTTTGTTAAGCAAGAAACACCTCCCCTGCCCCCAGAATGGCAAACGCCCCGCTTCTCTTTCGAGTCCTCCGTTTCCGTCAGCGCCTACCAAGACCCAATCACCCTTCTGCACCTCCCCGCCGGCGCCTCCTAAAGTCCAGTTATCTCCTGACCCACCCCTTACTTGCTACTTGTATAAATTGAGCCTGTAAACAATAAACTTCGCCAGCTTGATCAGACATCCTGTCTTGCTGGTCATTCTTTGTGTCTCTTGCTTGTCTCATTTCTGCAGGCGTCTCCGGTACACTCCACGTTCGTCCCGCGGGCCGGGACATAAATAGGGGTAATAATAGTATCTGCTTTGCCAAGTTGTTAAATCATTTAATATATATAAAGTGTTTTGGAACACTGTCTCATTGGCTATTTGATGGTGATAGCTCCCTGCAGTAGAATACACTGCAGCTCTGAAAATGATAAAGATTTACCTTCACGGAAAGGTACTTTGTAAAATATAGCACATATTAGTATGATCCAATCCATGCAAAATTATCTGTCTTGATTTCTCTACATGTAGATACCCACAGAGAGAAGTCTGGAAGGATGGTAATTAGTATTCATCTTTGGATTGCTGTCATTCCTTTTGCTTTTATTTATTTTATGTCTTTCTAGATTTTGGAATTTTCTACAGTGAGCACACCTCATAGTCCCAATTGGAAAAATACAAAAACGTCATATTTATTTGGTGCGAAAGAGGGAGCGGGATGGTTTCCCAGACTGCAGAGCAGTGGGATGGGGGCTCATGTGTCACACCCCATGGTGGCCAAACCATCCACTGGGGGCCTTTCTGCTTCTAGGCCATTCCTTGTACCCCCCGCCCCTGCAGGCCTGTGTTCCTTTGTATCCCAGCACCCCTCCTCAAGCCCGTAGGGGTTGCTTGGCCCTGAGGAATGCCTGGCTGCCCACACCTGCCTTACCAGAGTTGGGATACCCCACCACGGTGGGCAGGTAGCGGCTCTTGCTCATGTCCACAGGCACAAAGGCTGTGTATTTGCTGATGATGTTGCAGGCCTTGCTGGTGTGCACGGCATTCATCTGGTAGCGGCGGCCAGACCCTGCGGAGGGAGGAGCTGGCAGTCACTGCGGAGACTCGAAAAGTCCTCCAACAGGGGGGTTCAGCAGCTAAAAGGAGGGCTAGACCAGGAGTCCCCATCTTTGGGATTTAATAAGCCCTTAAAATCAAGAGGTTGCCACCTTGCCAATTAAGGACATTTTTTTAAAAACCTACGGTTATTAATCTCTACCATCATTTCATAAAATAAGGACATTTTAATGTAAAAGAGGTAAGACATCTAAGAATAAAAAGACAGTTACATCCCTTAAATAACTTTAGTGTTATTTTTAAGAAAACAGAACCCTCTATGGCGTCTGTATTTTCTCTTTTCATTTT